GCATTTCTGTTGGAAGAATAAAAAGAAATAGGGATAGAAAATATTACACTTAAAACTTTGTTGAATAATGGCTTGAATCATTATAAAATATATAATGCTTTAATGACATTCTTTTAAAAAAGTAGGTCTGTTTAACAGGATTTAGAAGGGTTTCATTTTTTTATTTATTTTTATTTATTTAGATCTTTCTATTCCATCAATGGTCCACACTCCAGCCTAGTAGGTGGCGGGAATGCACCTATCGTTTGTTTGCCAACCGCCATAAAACTCCAAAAGAAGGAGAAGAAGAAGAAGAACAAACGAAACAGCACCGGAAACAGAGGGAAGCGTTTGTTTTGGTGAATGTGACAGTGGGCTGAAAAATACATAATTTTAAAATTTGTTTACCGCTGACTTTTAAGTACTCGCGCTGAAGTTATGAAGCCAGCAGTTGATGAAATGTTTCCCGAGGGAGCTGGTCCGTATGTGGACCTGGATGAGGTTGGTGTTTACACATGTTTCTGTACGATGGTCTAATTAGCCATTTGAAAACGTCTATATTTAAGTTTACATACACTTAAAAATATCATATATATGTAAACGAACAGATTTATGTATAATTTCAAGTAAATTTGTATAAACAGCGTAACTTAACTTTCCACGGTAACGGTAGCTATTAATCTTCCTTCTATACAGTAAGTTAACAAAAGCGCATTTTCCTCAAATGCATATATTATCCCAATAGTGTTTATTCAGTAATTGTTAAGTAAATATATATGGCGTAATATTTGTTCTAAAACAGTATGCCTTTGTTCGCTTAAAATAAGTGAAAGAGTAAATGTCTGACATGGCTGTTGAGCTATTATAATGGTGCTGTAGTGATGCTGTAGTGCTGTGTGTTGAAAGGCAGGGGGCAGCAGTGGACTGCTGATGGATCTGGCCGCCAATGAGAAGGCCGTACATTCAGACTTTTTCAACGGTGAGACTCACAAAGTTATTTGATGCTGTACAGTACATCGATCAGTTACTTTCCTTGACCTTTCTAATGGTTTGTCATTACTGGATTTTCTTATAAATTTTTTTTTAATGAAAATTCTTAGGAAATATTTTAATTTGTATATACAGATAAAATACTTCAAAGAGCTCCTTCAAAGAGCAAAACATCCAAATTTCATTCTTCCCCCCCCCCCCAGATTTATTTACTTTTCTAGGCCGGAAATGTCTATTTTTAAATTCTAGGTGGAAATTATGTAATTACTGGAATAATTAAGATTTTTAATGTTTTTTAAATAAGTCTATAATGCTCATTATTATAATTTTAATGTATTTTAAAATGTAATTTATTTCTGTGATGGCAAAGCTGAATTTTCTTTTTGCTGATTTGCTGCTCAAGAAACATATAATTAATAAAAAAATTATTATACAATTAACACAAGCTAAAAAGACCTCTAACACTAGCTTGCTCTATTCTTTTTCTATTCTATCTGTTTTCTTTTTATTTATTATATTATTTAAAAAAAACCTTGCTACGTGTACTGCGTTAAGCTAACTGAGACTTGTTATAGCACTTGCATATCATTGCTCTGTTGTTGATTTTGATTGCTTCCATTGAACTCATTTGTAAGTCGCTTTGGGTAAAAGCGTCTGCTAAATGAAAAATAAAATAAATAAATAAAATAAAATATATTATTATTATCAATGTTGAAAACAGTAGAATCATCCAGTTCAGCAGTTAAAATCTGCTTCATATTTTTGTGGAAACTCGCATACATTTTTAAGATTCTTTGATGAATAGAAAGCTCAAAGAAAAATAAAATGAAAATATTATGTACATTATAAATGTCTTTATTGTCAGTTTTGACCAATTGAATGCATTCTTGCTTAAAAGTATTGATTTCCACAAAAATATGAAGCAGCACAACTGTTTTCAACAAGAAGAAACGTTTTGAGCAGCAAATCAGCAGATTAGAATGATTTCCAGAGGATCATGTGACACTGAAGACTGAAGTAATGATGCTGAAACAATTCTGCTTTGCATCATTGGATTAAATTACATTTTAAAATGTATTCAAATAAAAACAGTTATTATTTTGCAGTGTTTTTGATCGAATAAATGCAGCCTTGGTGAGCAGAAGACACTTAAAAACATAAAAAATATAATTTATTCCAAACTTTTGACTGTCAGTGTGTGTGTATATATATTTCTATGCAAAATTATTTTTAAAAACATTTTTTCAAGTTGCTGTTTTTATTTGTTTGCTTGGCAACAGAATACTGCAAAGTGCTTTAGCATGCAGACTCTTTACAATTTTCTTTACACTTTTCCGCAATAGTAAAGGTAGTTTGAGCTTGGCACAGGATGACCTAAAAACGGGCAGTAAAGAGTAAAGGAGGTATGAAGCTGAGCCCATGTAAAGCACTTTATTGGGCTTCATTGGCTCCAGCGCAGCAGGTCTTCCCTCTTTAGAGGCTCTATATCCATCTGCAGCGCTTGAAGTAGCTGAACACGTGTCATTCAGGGGCGTTTTTATCAGGGGGCCCTTTTGGAAATGGAAAAGAACCCAGAGACCCCGATAAGAGCTCATACCCTCATTTTACTGAGAACAGCATGTTTTAGATGAGGTATTTGTTCAAATTATTATTTAAAAAAGCTTCTACATATTCTGGTTTATTTTGCTATATCAAAAGTACTGTATGTATAGGTACAAAAAAAATTTTTTTTTAATGCTTTTTTTTTTTCTCCACAGATTTTGAAGACCTGTTTGATGACGATGATATTCAGTGATGAAGAGGACAGATAGGATTTCTCCATTGTATAAAATGTTGTACATTTTAAGTGTTTTTCTTTCTTCACTTTAAGAGTGATGTTGCATTGTTAACTCTCAGTTGAATAATAAACTATTGTGCAATACAAAGTCTTCCTTTTTCCAGATGTTTCCACATTTTAAAAACCCCAGACATTCCGAGTCAAAAGTTGGAGTTATTATAAACGTTTTTCCCTAGGCTGAAATCTGTTTCTAGCCCTGATTGTAGGTTTTTGCACATTCCTGAACACCTGTAAGGGTGCATAATTACATGTGCAATCCACTTTTAACATAAAGCACAGATGTTTTACACTCTGACATTGACATAATATTTTTTCTCCAAGATTTATCTGAACAGACATCATAATCTGTTATCATTCACGTCAGATAATTAAAAAAGGCATACATTAATTCCTAATCTGTATTGCTGCATCACAAACAGGGTTTTAATTGAGAATGATCACTTGTAATGCCATTCTGCGCAGTTGTTGGATGATGGATTGTGCTGGTGCTTGGCAGATGTGCGTATGAAATAATTCCCCCTAAGGTTTTTGCCCTGTTTGCTGCAGTTGAGGGTTCAGTGCATTTACTCTGACACAATATCCACTAGATTTGTTTAGTCTCCGTTATTCTGTTAGTTGAAGATAACAAGCACCGTCACTTGAATTTACAGGGTCCAGACAAAACTTTTATGGGCACGTCCTCCCCCGATGTAAAGACACGTGTAGTACATTTCCAGCTGTTGATGGCAACCCTGAAGTTGTGTTATTATATGGACTTAAAGGTAACCTGCAAGCATACTCAACTGAAAGAAACAGTTCTCCCCCAAAAAATTTAAATTTGCTGAATGTACTCACTCTCAGGCCATCAAGATTTATATGAGTTTGTTCCTCATTTTGGAACAGATTTGGAGTATTTTGGCGTTTCATCATTTGCTCACCAATGGATCCTCTGAAGTGAATGGGTGCCGTCAGAATGAGAGTTCAAACAGCTGATAAAAACATCGCAATCCAAAAGCAATCGACATGACTCCAGTCCATCAATTGATGCATTGTGAAACGATAAGCTGCACATTTACAAGAAACAAACTCATCATTAAAACACTTCAATTTGAAAGTCTATTATTCATAATAACACTCCCTCCAGTGAAAAAGTCCATCCTCCATTGCCCCCTCACATCAAAATCCACCGACATATTTGTTTAGGGCTGTTTTGGTCTGTAAACAGTGCTTGATCTGTGCATATTTCTCTCCTGATTCAGACAAAATGATTTTTCACTGGAGAAAGCAATATTATGGATAGAGGATTTTAGCTGGAAGTAATGGTTTGAAGTTAAAACGTCTTGATAGATTTGTTTATTACAACCATGCAGCTTGTGCATTACTGACATTACTTGTGGATTATTGTGATGCTTTTATCAGCTGTTTGGACTCTCATTCTGGCGGCACCCATTCACTGCAGAGGATTCACTGGTGAGCAAGTGATGTAATGCTAAATCATTTTAAATCTTTAAATCTGTAGAAGAAACAAACTCATCTACATTTTGGATGGCCTGTGAATTTTGGGTGAACAATTCCTTTAAAAACAAATCTGAAAACCAGATAAAAAAAAAAAAATGTTTTGCTCAAAAAGCAAAAAACACATTTAATAACTGAAAGCTACAATACTAAACTAAACTTATTAAATACACCTGAGATGTATATTTTATTGCATTCACTATTTTGAATTGCATTCACTAGTTTAGATATAGAAATCCACAAGATAGCCTACACTGAATCATTACAGGTGATATTATTTTACGTATTTGCTCTAAAACAACTGCAAAAATGGGAATTTTCATGTCCTGATTTTTGTCCTTCAGCATTTTTTCTTCACCTTCTATACACAAAACAGTTGATGTTCTTTTCTCTCCTGTTTCTGTGTCTATAAATGCAACATCTGATTGGTTGACTCGCTGGGCCAAAGAAGGCCAATCATAGGGCTGGAAGCAGCATGTACTTGGCCCTATGGGATGCACCTCTTTGTTTTTAATTATCAAGGTTGGGTTTAAATTGTGGCCAGGTTCTCAACAGTGGCCCAGTCGTTGTACAGGGGTGTGTTGAGACTGTAGTACACGAGGGGCTTAGCTCACCTTCCTCTTCCAGTCGGTCAGCTGTAGAGCTGAACTTCAAGGCCTCTCCTCAGCGGGTTCACATCATCACATCCTAACACAGGTAAGACACAGCTCAAACCCTTTTGTATGTCTTTTCATTTGTATGATTATAAAGCAAATGCACATTTCTACATTTCAAAAACCCTTATAGTTACTTTTACCAATATGCAAATGGCCCCCAAATGTTAACAGTTCTTAAACATTTGAACTTTTTTTTGAACAGTTAAATGATGGTAAGATAATTTTTTAATTGTTCTATATTTAAGAAAATATTTCAAACTTTTTGTTTGAAAAAGTTGAAAGCTGCACAAGCAAAATACTGACATTATAAAGCAAATGCACATTTCTACATTTCAAAAACCCTTATAGTTACTTTTACCAATATGCAAATGGCCCCCAAATGTTAACAGTTCTTAAATATTTGAACTTTTTTTTGATCAGTTAAATGATGGTAAGATAATTTTTAAATTGTTCTATATTTAAGAAAATATTTCAAACTTTTTTTTTGAAAAAGTTGAAAGCTGCACAAGCAAAATACTGACATTGACAAGATTATTGTAAGACAGCATAAAGAGCATAAAATTATTTGTTGAACGTGTAAATTACATTTCTCTCTTATAACAATTCTCATTTGCTATATTATTATCATCTTGAGAGGTTCATCATGTTAAAGTATGAATATGAAAATACATGCTACATTTAAATGCTAGGCCTATAAATAATTTTGTTTATCCAAAGGAGTCAGGAAGGTTAAGAATGGCTCGTTTGAGAGGATCTTCCATCTTCCATGTGTTGCTGCTAGCAGCATTATTATTACCAGGTGAGACTTTTAAATTATAATTTTTTTAATGTTAAAAATTGTTCTTTGGTTTTCCTCACAGTTGCAGCTGTTTTTTTGTTTTTTTTAGAAAATTTAAATAGGAATCTTTATTTTTATTAGTTCTATGATAAAACGCCAGATCATTTAGAAGCTGCTTGACTCGATGACTTTGTATTTTCTGAGCGAAATTTCCCCAAAAGCCCTGTATCAAGCAAGGGGGTATCAAGTTTCTGAGTGCCAGGTCTTCGTTTTTTGCTCTGCAACTGGTAAAATGATTAACGGTTGTCAGCAAAACTCAAATGCACCAGGTTTCCAGATGTGGCAGCAGTTTACAAGCTCATAAAAAATAAACTTGCTGACACTCTGAAAGAGCAACATTTCCTTTACCTCCCTCATACAAGACACTGAGAACTTCCGTTCAGTCACCTCACAGTAAAGACATCCATGATCCACTCGTCCCCATTCCAGCAGAGATAAACGTCACCTTTAGAGAGAAAGTGTCAGTTCATACGTTTTTTTTTGACGCTAGGATAATTAGGTTCACCTGTAGGTTCAGAGGTTCCTTTCCTTTGTAGATTTTATAGCTTTTGCTTGTAGACGAGCTTGGTTACTGCGGCCCCCTGCTGCCAGGCATCAAAGTGCTGATGTGTGCTGTTTGAAGATTAATTTCCTACAATACCCTGTATATTACCACCTTCCCTTCCCCCAAAAACTTGTAAAACCGCATCCTGCTGCCCTCAGCTCATTGGGCCTTTACTGTCTGTAAGCATTTTCGACTCTGTCTTTAAAAAATGCAACATCTGGTTGAGACTTGGACCCCCTAATTTTTTCCCCTCTACTCTTCTTCTCAAACAGAGTTTCTGTTGGCTGGCCCTGTGACCCAGCATTTAAAAGGAGATGGTAAGTTTGGCTTGTTCTCCTGTTCTGTCAGCTTCTTTATGGAGTCCCAATTCATTTATCTGTTGTATATCTACCATAAAATCTGAATGTTAGATATGCACAGTGACGTAACACATAATGTTTCTGCCAGATGGAAGTGATGAAAAGGCAGGCTTTGAAGCAGTTTCAAAGAAACTAATCCGCAACAGGAGAAACATCAGTTGGTACAAGCAGCACTCTGACTTCTGGAGCTGGTACAAATACTTCACTGACAATGGGAACCAAGAGGGAGTGAGTACAGCATATCATAAACTAAACAGGACAACACAGCACACCTGCAGGTCTTATAAGAATTGCTCATAGTTGTTGCAAAGGTTAATCTTAAAGGGATAGTTCACCCAAAAATGGAAAATTCTGTCAAATTCTAAGTACTCACCCTCATGTCGTCCAAACCCATAAGACCTTCGTTCATCTTTGGAACACCATTCAAGATATTTTTGTTGAAATCCGAGAGCTTTCTGACCCTGCATAGACAGCAACGCAACTACCAGAATGGTAGTAAGGACATTGTTAAAATAGTCCATGTGACATCAGTGGTTCAACTGCATGCGTCGTGGTACTCTCGTGGACATGCGTCGAAGACTGACATGGAAGAGAAGAAATTGTTGAATAAAGTTTTTTTTTGTTTGTCTTTGCACACAAAAAGTATTCTCTTAGCTTCCAAAAATTAAGGTTGAACCATTGATGTCACATGGACTATTTTAACGATGTCCTTACTACATCTCTGGGCCTTGAATGTGGTAGTTGCGTTGCTGTCTATGCAGGGTCAGTAATTTGTGTTCCAAAGATGAACAAAGGTCTTACGGGTTTGGAACGACATGAGGGTGAGTAATTAATGACAGAATTTTCCTTTTTGGGTGAACTATCACTTTAAGGATGCACAATATATCAGTACCACATTGGCCCAGAATTTCAATACCAGTTACCATCTTGAGGATGATTGAGGTTATTTATGTGTTTTGTGTTGGTTATATAATCCACATACTGAATCAAAATCATTCATTGTCATCTTACAGGTTGCAGAGCTGGATCGTGTCTATCTTGCATACTCCAGAATGGTAGTAAGGACATTGTTAAAATAGTCCATGTGACATCAGTGGTTCAACTGCATGCGTCGTGGTACTCTCGTGGACATGCGTCGAAGACTGACATGGAAGAGAAGAAATTGTTGAATAAAGTTTTTTTTTGTTTGTCTTTGCACACAAAAAGTATTCTCTTAGCTTCCAAAAATTAAGGTTGAACCATTGATGTCACATGGACTATTTTAACGATGTCCTTACTACATCTCTGGGCCTTGAATGTGGTAGTTGCGTTGCTGTCTATGCAGGGTCAGTAATTTGTGTTCCAAAGATGAACAAAGGTCTTACGGGTTTGGAACGACATGAGGGTGAGTAATTAATGACAGAATTTTCCTTTTTGGGTGAACTATCACTTTAAGGATGCACAATATATCAGTACCACATTGGCCCAGAATTTCAATACCAGTTACCATCTTGAGGATGATTGAGGTTATTTATGTGTTTTGTGTTGGTTATATAATCCACATACTGAATCAAAATCATTCATTGTCATCTTACAGGTTGCAGAGCTGGATCGTGTCTATCTTGCATACTTGCAGAACAAGAATCGGGCTGAGGCACGTCATTCCTACAAGCTGTACCTGCAGCACCTTAGCGACATCTACAAATCTTGTGCCGAGTCTGATGACCCAAATTGTGTGGCCTCGTACACCAACAGACCCAAACCCAAAGCTGAGGCACCAGTGCCTGCCCCAGTCAAGTCTTGTGACCCTTACAGAGACCCATACTGCTTGTACTCGAAGGGATACTCATATTACCCATACATGGCTCCAGCCCCAGCCGCTGTCAAAGCCCCTGCACCTGCCCCAGTCAAAGCCCCAGCCTACATCCACACGCCTGTGGTGAAGGATCCACGTTCTGGTTACTACTACTACTCTCCGTTGGTGCAACCCTTCCTGCCAGCCGAGCAGAGGTCCGAGCTGTTGCGCATCTGTGATGCCGAGGATGTCGAGTGTCTTCAGTACCACCTCCGTGCTGCTTACGGATACAAGCCCGCTGCTGCCCTAGCCCCATCCTACGCCCATCTCGGCTGTGACCCTAAGGCCGATCTTCACTGCGTCCCCCATCTGGTCCAGAAGGCGCCATCTGGTCTGTACCAGCGTTATCCCCATTGTGACCCTCGAGTTGACCCATACTGTGCTTATGCTGCTGCTCTGGCATCCTCACAAAACCTTGAAGCCCCTTCTTCTGGCTTGGAGAGACCCTGCAACCCTCTCTACGATGATAACTGCAACCCTCTGACAGCCACAAGGTTTGGCAGCCTGGCTCCTGAAGATCTGAAGGATGAGCCCGCCTCTGAAGCCGGTGCCATGCGGGCACCTCCGAGCCCTCGTCGCGACCCTTATGCCATGCACCGAGATGCATCTGCTGGGGCTGACCTGCGAAGACACCTGCCTACACATCTCCAGCCTCCAAGGCACCAACCAGAGGAACCTCAACATCCTTTGGGACCCAGAGGGAAGACCAAGGAGGGATATGACTGTTTCATCGGGTATGATGAAGAGTGCTTCCCACTGGGTTTCCAAAACGAGCACCGTCCTGCTGTGCACAGACAGCCGTCCAACCCAACTGAAGCCTACGAGCCCCACCTGAATGTCGATGGAACCAGGAATGGAGTGATCGAACCTGATCCTGACTGCGACCCAGAGTACGACAGAAACTGCCGCTTGCGCCGCTACAAACCTGAGGTGGCCGAACCCGCCAGTCCATCACCTCAAGAGGAGTCAGCCCAGGAGGAATCCCACCGTGAGGAGGTCCCTCAGCATAGAGAAGAGTCCTACCCTGAGGCCCCAGGCTATGACCAGCAGCAATATGAGCCCTACATGAGCGGACAAGAGGATCCATATGCCAGATACGGCCCCCAAGAACCAGGAGCGACCAGCTTTCAGGATGTCCTGAGAGGATACGGTGGTCGGTATCCTGGTCAGGATGACCACCGTGCCTACAACGGAGACTACAGAAATAAATAAATACCTGTGACAATGTATGCCAAGAATAGTAGATCAGGACAGAACATGTTTTTGTAGATAAATATTGCAATGCACACTTGTAGAAAAGGTGCACATGCATTTTCACAGGATTTCACTTGGTTCACTCAATATTTTTGAGAGCTGCTGAAATTTCCTAGCTCTGGAGTTTGACAGCAGTTGTATAGGAAAAAAATATTTGATTCTTATGATTTCTTACTGATTCTTTAAGCCCATGTAATCAGATTGTGTGTTGCAGCATCTCTAGGAGAGATATTCTACTAGAGGAGCACTTGAAATAGCTCTTCGTATCTTTGTGGAGGGAAAATTACACAAAACATAGTATGTAAAAGGTGAATAGTGTACTTGAATATACTGCAACCTCTCCCATTTTGGCTTTTTCTTTGTAAATTCACCCACCCATTAACACTTCAAGTTAATATTTAATGAATTTCTGGGACCCTTGCTTATTTGTATTCTTTTTTAAATTGCCAAATTTATGCTTTGTGATTTGTTTGCATATTTGTAAGATGTTTTTCTTTGAATGTTTCAAATAAAAGCTTTAAAGATCTTGAGTTCTTTTTATTTGCAAATGCACTATTACTACTGACAAACTAGCTAATTTAACAAACAGTTTTTCTATTAATTACAATCAAATAACATTATTTAAAAAAAAACTGCTGGTAGAAACTGTTGTTGCTCATTTTATTGGAGACAAGTGAATTATTATGCCATCCTACTGTATTGTCATTCACAGAGCAATGCAATACTAAAAACTGATTAATTATCTCACTGTTCAACTTACTAACACACAAACAGTCAGTGATAATACAATAATCTGCACCAAATTAGCATAAAAATCCATATTTATGTGGCATCATTTGCTGGATTTTTTAGTTAACTGTCTTGGGAGTTTAGAGAAATGTTAAAACTCCACAATTAAGATGTTTCTTCAAAATCTAGAGCACAGTCCAAGCTGTGACACAGATACCTTCATTAGCCTGAGAATACTTTTAATAAACATTAATAAATATAAATACTCAACAGCTGTCAAGCTATTTTGGTTCATTAAAAACTATGGCATACAAATGGCAATTAAAGAGCTGCTGCAAGATTGCAAGTCGCAAATCTAAATAAAATATAATTATAAGGTCATAGCTCAGCACATATGGTGGTATCTGACCTTAATCATTGATTAAAATATCAGCGAGGATGACGTATGCTAAACTGCACACCAACTGCTGTACTGAGAGGAAGCCAGTTGGCTAGATGTGACATGTTTAGTGGGTGGGCAGCCAGACTCCCTATGAACATATCTGGCCTATAAATCTAAAAATGACAGGGCTTATGACAGTATCAAACACAGACACACACACAGCAAAATAATCTCTTCATGCTGCATTAAACTGACTGATTGTTCCGTGAGATTAAGTGAACATGTGGATACAAATACATCCACATAGGCAGTGTCAGCGTCTGCGGTTGTCAATTGGGTTGCTTAAGATTTTAGGAGTCAAAAGGAAGCCAGTGAAGGTGGAGTCATTGTTGATATCTGCATAAATCCCTGCATCAAATATGTCATCATACAACTGTAGCCAAACCTCATCTCCAGCAGACAGATTTAAAACCACCCCTCCAGAGGCCTGATCCAGATTTCCACTGTGGAACTGGTCAAGTGTAAAGGCCACAGTCCGGCTGTTTTTAAACATAGCTACCTTGGTCTCCTTCCCATTGATGGTAAGATGATATGTAAAGTAATAGATCCCAGGGATGGCACAGCGAAACTTTCCAGAGATGTCGTCGTAGTGGTGCTGCTCATTGTAGAAGGTTTTAGTGAAGCGGATGGGAGCTCCACTGGCCGGGCTGGTTATACCTGTGAGTCCCATGCTAAAAGCAGAGCGGTAGGGGAAGGAACCCTCTCCACTTTGTCCTTTCAGACCGGGGTTTCCGGGAAATCCTCTTTTTCCTGCAGGTCCCTCATCCCCTGGTTCACCTGGCTCTCCATTCGGTCCTTTGGGGCCTTGACAAAGATAATTGAATAGTTTCTTTTTTTGCAGACAAACCTTTTATATTGTTAACTGAGAAGAATCCATAAAGGTATATTCACTAAAGTAAGCCAATCAAAAAACAAAACTTTTTTTGAAGATTTTTTCTCCAGTTTAGGCTGAGGGTGACATAATTTAGTTTTTTTTAGTTGTCGGAAATACCAATGATGTTTTTCTTGAATTTTTCTGACTTTTTCTCATTTAGGGTCATGAACATGCCTGCAAAAGTGCAGACACTCCAATGTGTTGTGGAATGTATGGACACAATTTCTATAATTACGGTATTTGCAGGTCAAATATGATCATAGGCAGCCGCACAAACCCAAAACAGAAATATTTTATGATGGATTTTATGTCAGTTTTTCAACTACCCTCTGAGGGTATTTACACTTATGTATTTGACAGCCACTTTTACGTGTTTATTGTTTTTACCTGATTTTTAAAAATGTATCATACTGTGATTTTTGATGAACTGTACTTAATCCAATTAGCGTTAATTTAGATATTAACATTAAAGTGTGGTTTATGTGTGCAAATACTTTTTGTGGGCACTTAAAGGGATAGTTCAGCCAAAAATGGAAATTCTGTCATTAATTACGCACCCTCATGTTGTTCCAAACCCGTGAGACCTTCATTCATCTTCGGAACACAAATTAAGATATTTTTGATGAAATCCGAGAGCTTTCTGACCCTGCATAGACAGCTGACACGCTCAAGGCCCAGAAAGGTAGTAAGGATATTGTTAAAATAGTCCATGTGACATCAATGGTTCAACTGTAATTTTACGAAGCTACGAGTATATTTTTTGTGCGCAAAGAAAACAAAAATAACAATCTTATTAAGTTTCATAACATTATGGTTGAGCCACTGATGTCACATAGACTATTTTAACAATGTCCTTACTACCTTTCTGAGCCTTGAACGTGTCAGTTGTGTTGCTGTCTATGCAGGGTCAGAAAGCTCGGATTTCATCGAAAAAATCTTAATTTGTTTTCCAACGATAATCAAAGGTCTTACGGTTTGGACATGAGGGTGAGTAATTAATGACAGAATTTTCATTTTTGGCTGAACTATCCCTTTAATACTATTAACAGTCTGTAAATAAATCACCTGGATCTCCATTATCTCCCTTTGGTTCAACTGTAATTTTACGAAGCTACGAGTATATTTTTTGTGCGCAAAGAAAACAAAAATAACAATCTTATTAAGTTTCATAACATTACGGTTGAGCCACTGATGTCACATGGACTATTTTAACAATGTCCTTACTACCTTCTGAGCCTTGAACGTGTCAGTTGTGTTGCTGTCTATGCAGGGTCAGAAAGCTCGGATTTCATCGAAAATATCTTAATTTGTTTTCCGACGATAATCAAAGGTCTTACGGGTTTGGACATGAGGGTGAGTAATTAATGACAGAATTTTCATTTTTGGCTGAACTATCCCTTTAATACTATTAACAGTCTGTAAATAAATCACCTGGATCTCCATTATCTCCCTTTTCCCCCTCATGCCCATCACGTCCGTCCCGCCCGGGGATGCCATCGAATCCTGGAGTGCCAGGAACACCCCTCATCCAGCGGGCACAAGGTTCCCTCCCGTCTTGCTCAGCCAGCTCTGTGTCCTCCTCCTGAGAGACACTCAGTCTGGCTGCCATTAGCACACAAAGCACAGCTATCCATGCAGGCTTCATTGTAAGAGCCGTGTGATCAATCTGTTGCGAAAAAAAAAAAAAAACTTTTAGAAAAGTAAACAAAAGTAAAAGTAAAGACATCAGGATTAGAATTTTAGGATTAAACGAGCATGTTTTGTCCTACCTGGTCATCAACAGTGTGTCAGTACAGTCTTTTGTGTGGAGTGATAGCCTGAGCTGTTGTCCTTTTGAGATCTTGTGTGCTAGTTTTTTTATGTGCTTGTCACGTAATTAATGACAGAATTTTCATTTTTGGCTGAACTATCCCTTTAATACTATTAACAGTCTGTAAATAAATCACCTGGATCTCCATTATCTCCCTTTTCCCCCTCATGCCCATCACGTCCGTCCCGCCCGGGGATGCCATCGAATCCTGGAGTGCCAGGACCCCCCCTCATCCAGCGGGCACAAGGTTCCCCCCCGTCTTGCTCAGCCAGCTCTGTGTCCTCCTCCTGAGAGACACTCAGTCTGGCTGCCATTAGCACACAAAGCACAGCTATCCATGCAGGCTTCATTGTAAGAGCTGTGTGATCAATCTGTTGCGAAAAATAAAAAAAAACTTTTAGAAAAGTAAAGACATCAGGATTAGAATTTTAGGATTAAACGAGCATGTTTTGTCCTACCTGGTCATCAACAGTGTGTCAGTACAGTCTTTTGTGTGGAGTGATAGCCTGAGCTGTTGTCCTTTTGAGATCTTGTGTGCTAGTTTTTTTATGTGCTTGTCACTCCTAAAAATATCTGACTGGACATGCAAAGCAGCTGTTCGTATTAAACAACCGGTCACACTATCACACTGAGATAAGACAGTGTGAGAGTTTTGTATATTTATTGTTGTTGATTCATTCCTGCTGCCTGCTAGTCAGTTTAATGCACACTTGGTGTGAATAGCTATTATCTGATTACTTTAGAAGCTTTCTGAATATTGTTAGGGGTATCTGCTTATTTAAGGAAGGTAGAGGAGCAAATTACTGCCTAGTATCCTACTAAGACCCATTTTGTCTGTGATCTATTCATACAATTTACCAATACAAAGAGCTGCTAGCATGAGAACAGGAGGAACTTCTATATTATAATCATTGGGGGCCACCTTGTGGCTGATATAATCTGTGCCTCAAGTGCTCAAAGGCCTACTGAGAGGTTAAGATAGAGATGAATAAAATAAAATTATGAATATATGGTTCCCTTTCGTGGAACTTCGAACTGCGTCCTCTAGGGGTCGCTATGGGGAACGCCTCGTCGTGACCCGTGTCTGAAGCCTACATTGAAAAAACACCAACTTGTTTGGCCGGCGACAGCCATGACGTCACTACCGTCGCGACTAGTACAAAATAGGCGCCGGTAGCGCACATCATTCTCTTCTTCGTCTTCACTGACCGGTCTGTTTGAAGCGTGCATTCCAAAAAGCAAAGTAAGAGCTTTTTCTTTCTACTATGGCGAGCACTAACGAAGCGTTTAGAAAGTGTGTACATCCGTGTCAGCGGTTCCCGACACCCGATGATTCACACGATCTATGCGCTGTTTGTTTGGGCGAGGAGCACGCACACGATGTCCTCGAGGGGGCAATCTGTGTGCACTGTGAGAGCTTTTCTCTTCAACACTATATAGAGAAAAAAGTGCGCCAAAATTCAAAAATCTTTTGAAGATATCGCTGAACATTTATTTTACCATAGTAAAATTACATTTCTGGCTTAAGTAAATTTTTCATCTCAGTTTTTAGTATTCATTTAAAATGAGGCAAATCTGCTATTATTTTAATCTCCAAACTGTTATTTATCAGTGTAGATAGCTAAATAGCAGAAGACACTAACCAATTTTAAATTCCAGTTGCGCAGATGGGGCACGTTGTAACACTGCGTTACAATGTGCTATTCTATGACATTAGCGATGTAATTTACATTATTTACTTTAATGAATTTTAATGAGAAACCATGAGGAACAAGTGAATAAAGACTGACAGTCAATGTTTAATGTTCAGAAGTTATTATTTCAAGACATGTAAAACATTTTGGCTCGTTTAAGTGGGCTGTCCCAAGCATGGTTGCAATGTGTTCATTGTCAAACTACAAAATCAGATTATTTTTAATTCTTAAAAAACGCCATTATTTTATTTGAAAAAGTTAAAAATGTTATTACAAAAATATTTCAGTTTGTCTTGTATATTTTTCCATTAGATCAGATAATATTTGAAGCTGTCATATGGTCATGTTACAGCGTGCCCCTCAGATGTTACAATGTACAATTTACCAATACAAAGAGCTGCTAGCATGAGAACAGGAGGAACTTCTATATTATAATCATTGGGGGCCACCTTGTGGCTGATATAATCTGTGCCTCAAGTGCTCAAAGGCCTACTGAGAGGTTAAGATAGAGATGAATAAAATAAAATTATGAATATATGGTTTTCATTCAGAAAGCATGCATTATTTTATTTTTTTATTTGTTTGACATTCTATTAATCAAAAAATCCTTTTATTAAGAAAGCATGCTTTATTTGATTTGATTGTTTGTTTGTTTGACATTCTCTTCATCAAAAAATCCTGAAACAAAATGCATCATGGTTTTTAATAGCTTTACTTTGTCTTGTATATTTTTCCATTAGATCAGATAATATTTGAAGCTGTCATATGGTCATGTTACAGCGTGCCCCTCAGATGTTACAATGTACCCCACCCTATGGGGCACGTTGTCACATTTCACTTCCATTTTTTGAGGGTAAATAAAGAAAAATGTATACACTGTAATTATGAAACAAAGTGACGTATTTGTACTAGACAAGTGTAAAATTACTGTGGATAAAAAAATTATACTCTGAAACCCATTTCGATTTACACAAATCAAAAAGTGTTACATTGTGCCCCGCTCTCCCCTATATTCCCACATTATTCACAAAACAGTTCTCTATAACAATAACAGATTTAATGTCCTGGTAGATTATTTATTTTAACTATATTTAAATGTAATTCTGCTGTTTGAAGCACTGTCAAGGCTACCTCGTGTTTTGATAAGGTTAACACAATAGAACTCAACGGACATGGCAATTTTATCATAATAATGGATAATGTCATTATATACCTATTACTGGCACAATTCTCCAGGTCTTTATAAGGACTCTCAGAGTTAATTAGACGCTTCATTAAAACATGAAACCATTAGATATGAAGGGAGTTCTCCATTCTCCGCTCTTCCCATCTCTGTTCTGCTGTAAAAGGTCAGTGTTCATCTCACACAGCTCCCTGTGCGCTACCTGACACTTCTCTGGACTAATTGTATTACTCGTGCTGATAATAAAATGCCAACATATTTTGTTTAAACATTGTTTCGTGGAAATGCCATGACTATGAATAATCGTCCTCCTATTTCACCTTTGAATCAACAACATCAATCTACTACTGTGTTTGTTTAAGCGATTATCAGTAGAATGAACACATTAGGTGTTGTAAGAGCAAGAAAAACCCCTATTAATTTAAATTGTCTCAATAATTGCTTATAATGGGTTAGTCATACATATACAGGGGGTTTATTAACCCTATAAAGGCCCCTAAATCATGAATATGATTGCTGAAACCTGTTGTACACAATCTACATAAGTTTTCTGTCATCTCATTGATAGTTAATATTTTTTTAAGCAAGTAAAAGGACTTTTAGTGTAATTTTGCTGTAAAATCTTTGCTAGTAAGTAAATATAAGAATACATTTTATATTGCAAGATGAACACTTGCTGGACTGAAGCAACTTAACTTGATTATCCATACATCAGTTAGAAAAATCACATAAAAATGTATTAAATATGATTCATTTTTTTAAGGAACATTTATTTGTACATTTCTTAATCATCACTGTATTGCATTATATGGCCAAATTTTTTGGTAAAACTTAATTTCAAACACATCAACCTTTAAACCATAATGACTATAAAATATATTTAAATACTAGCAATGTAGATTTAGAGTAGCATTTTAGAGCCATTTATGCTACAGAAGTTTTATTTGATCAAACTTGGAGAGAAAACTGGAGCACTAAATGTAAGTTACACAGCAAGTAATTAACCTCAATTTTTACAAGAAAGCACTACATTAAAGGAGATTCATTCTATTGAACCAGTCAGCTTCTGCAAGCACACGTAACAAGCTTCTGCAGGTAACGCCATCATTGAGATCATTCAGGGCACACTTACACTAATCAGTGTCAAAACGTAAACAAGTGTGGATTGGTTACCAGGGATACAAATGAGCAATCTGAGTTTCAACCCTACGGTTCAGAAGGTATGAGTAGGAAAAGCCCCGTGAACAGCTTGAATGGTATAAGGCAAACCAAATAGGCTTATCTTAGCACTGCAGAGGTTTCCAATATGTGCAGATAGAGTCATTTCGTGGCTGCTTGTTTGCAGCTCTAATAGGATCCCTCTGGAATTGGATTATACAGGTAATAGGGGAATAATACGGTGAGGGGTTTGTTACGATTATGACAGCTTCGTTCGGGAAGGAAAAATATATAGTTACAGTTGAAAATAAGTTTTCATGACGTCCCATGTTCAAAAATAAACGGTTTGAAAGCGTTACTTTGAATGGATATCATTGGAGGATGAAAGTTGTCAGGCTGAAGTTTGAGGAAAAGTTCCCAAAGCCTGTCAAAGTCTAACTTTCACTCATTGAAGATGGCTCAGCTAAGGTGTTAGCTCAAACAGAGTGCTCTACTGGATAAACACTAGCCGAATGACCCCTCAATCACAAATGGGGATGAAATAATGAAAATGAGGGAAATTTCATTGTGTGCCAGTGAAATTAACGTTTGATCAAATAACCTGTTCAGTAAGTTTACCTTCCATACGGCTAATGATTAGCTTCATGAAAGTCTCTGCAAACAATCACCTCTGAACTTTATACATCTGAGAGGCTTAGCCACATGATAAGATGACCACATTTCTGAAATTAAAACCAGGCATATTACTACTTCTTTGCTTAATATATAATTGAAATTTGGAATTAAATAAATCTATGACTTTGGTTATAACTATGAGGCCTTTATTTACATCCCTGTATATAATATGTTCTGTCTTGACTTTGTGCTAGCAGCTTGACAGACAGCTAATAGCCTTTAATTAATTTTTTTAATGAATACAAAATAAAATAAAATAACCAAATTATTAATATATGGCATAATATATGCCATGATGTATTTTTTTAAATTTAAATAATAAGCAC